AGGAGCCCCTGGTAGCGTTCTTGCTCCTACCCCCCCCCGTGCGCGCGCGCGAAAAGGTCCTAGTAGAGTCCTTTGCTCAATTGAATTCTATTCTACTAGCTTCTTGTTACTACTAGTAAGGCACTTGTTACGAGTAGCGATGCACTTGCTACTAGTAGTAAGGCCCTTGCTCTTAGTAGCGAACATTGCCAGGAGCCCCTGAGGCTTTGGCCCAAAACTGACAGCAATCCTCCAAAGAGGTGGGACGCCGCGTTGAAAACCTCATCTGTCACGTGCTCGGCTCCGTCATGAGACCTCTCGCCAATCAAGCCTGCAAGCAAAAGCTCTTGATGTGCTCAAGCTCTGTTTGCTGCGCACATGCATATATTATACATAACCTGCTAGAGCAAATCCTGCTTCTTTCTTTGACGTTCCATCTACATCATGTTTATCCTATATTGCCTTCAGGTTCAGCTGCAGCACTTGCAACTACCGGGTTGCGAAAGAGCAACAACTTCAGGGCAAAATCATGTGTTGTCATGCAGTCTTTCAATAGAAGTAAAAAACAACAGGTTGTAGGTCCAAGTGGCCAGGCCTATGTTCGAGAACCGTGTTTCTTCCACTTGATCGTCCCTCGAGGCAAAACAGCACTGGTCTGGCTGATCTGAGATCTCCTTCAAATGCAGAAGCAAACATTGCAGCACGAAAGGTTTGCATGTTGCGTCTTAAGGGGTAATTAGGTTGGAGGCCGTTGCTACTAGTTTGGAGGTCGTCGCTATCAGGTTGGAAGCCATTCCTATTAGGTTTTGCATCTTAAGGGGTAACTCAAGTCCCAAATGCAATGTGACTTTCAGCATTCCAAGAACTGGGTTCTTGTACAAAAAGGACCATAGTGAAGTTTTCCTAAAGATCTAGGAACCGAATAATTAGGAGCGCTTCTTCAAGGAATCCCCCCCCCGCCGCCCTTTAGGGCGGCCTTTAGACCTACCAAAGTTTAGACCTTTAGAGCTTGTGTTTTTGCTGTTGTTTTGTTTTTGGTTGTTCTTGTCGGTATCTTTTTGGGTACCTTTTTTGCTGGTATTTTTCCTTTTGTTTTCTGCATTGAAACCCAAATAAATCTCTGAAGCGTTCTTGCTACTCCTTGCTTCTTAGGTACTCCTTAGGTACCAGCTAACAACCAACAATAGCTGAGTTTTGTGCAACTTAAGTTTCTAACATAAGTTGCCTAAGCTTCCTACATCATCGGCCTAACCTCCTTTTGTTTCATGTAATTGTGATATTTTGGGCTTTAGACCTGTAGACCTTTCTACTAGGAGCAAGGAAGCTACTAGGAACAAAGGGCCTCGCTACTAGGAGCAAGGACGCTACTAGTAGCTATTTGCTACTAGTAGTGCCCTTGTTACTAGTAGCTAAGGCGCCTACATAATTAAGCAAGGGAGAAGTTCGCTCCCAGTTGGGACGCAGGAAAGCTTGCGCTCGCACCAATGAGTTTCTTCCTAGATTTGTTGGAAAGTGAATACCTTCTTCGTCTCTGACGCATGTTTTGTTTGTTACTTGTATTTTCCTCATAATGGGTCTTCAGGGAGTATGTCATAGACCCAAAACAATTCTGTGCTCGACGCCGCTAGGCAACAGCCCCCTCCCAAAGCAGGGGCGTGCGGCTTGTGTAAAACAGCTCGTGAGTATGACTAGCAGGAAATAGCAAGACAGGGATGGAGCAAATAGCAAGCGAACGATTGTGTTTTGTTGTTAGTAGTGTTCTTGTCAATTCAAGAGTTAAAGCCTTCAGTATATAAAGAGAAGGAAGGACTGTGTTTTTGCTGAATCTTGTTGGTAACAGGCCGCTGGATAGCTGAGGCAAAGATTTATTGATTAGTATGAACTGTCTTCCTTTTCTTTTTCCCGAAAGCATTGCGAAGGGTTCTTCCGGAAAATCCTTTGAACACTTACACTTCGACACTTACACTTACACACACTGGAAGAGCGAAAGCATCCAAGTGCGAAGTATGCCAGTGTCAAAGTATGCAAGTGTAAGTACGCAAGCATGATATGCAAGGGTGAGTATGCAAGCACGCAATGAGTATACAAGCATGCAATGAGTAGGCAAGTGTGAGTATGGAAAACTAGCACGGGAGATGTCCTAATGAAAAAACATTTCCCCACTTTATAAATTCTCTCTTAAAGGCGGAGTGCGGGACGAACAGCGTCAACCGAAAGCGCAACCCTCTGCAGAGATCGTGCGTGTCGAGTGCGCGAAAGCAATCTGTGGAGCTGGAAGCTGAGAACTGGCGACTTTGTGGTACAACTTTAGTACGCAGAGTAGCTGGGGAGCTGGAAGCTGAGAACTGGCGACTTTCTAGTACA